TTTGTATTGGGTTTCTATAATGTAGATTAAAAAGATAGGAACACATCCCCAATTTGTTTATGAACTTTATGGGCCCAAAGGCCTGATCTTTTTAACTTTACATCTCTTAGCATGGTACCTGGTAAGGTACCCGGTAAGAAAGAGGGTCTTCAAGGTGTGATGACTGATTCATTCAATCTTACTTTCCTCTAGCACCTACAATGAGCTGAGGTAAACACTGGAACCACAAGGAATTATACATAGTCCTTGCCCTCGAGGAGTTCTGAATTTCGTACAGGGAGAAGGTATGAAAATGAACACTTTATGGTATAACTTGGGCTATAATAGAAATCTGAGCAAATTTTTGTGGGATTCCAGAGGGTTAGAGGTTTGGGGAGACAGGAAGTGGAAAGGCTCCGAAGAGGAAGTGACATCTGAGTCCAGTTCTTAAAGAACAAATAGAAGTTCCTAAGGAGAGAAGTGGGCATAGGGAAAAGGTGTCCCAGGGATGAGGTATTCCAGGTGGAGAGAACAAGATTATATATTAATAATTATAAAATTAATAATATCACCATCTCCTGTTCCTCCTGTGGCCTCCTCACAAGTGCCTTCCTCTTTCTTTTCCTTTGCTTCATCTATCAGTGGAACCATCATAGTGGTCAAGAACACAGGCTCTGAGCTCTGAAAGATTTTGGTTCTGCCAGACCAGGTGCCTCATGACTATAATCCTAGTGACTCAGGAGGATAAGGCAGGAGGATCACTTGAGCCCAGGAGTTTAAGACTAGCCTGAGCAACATGGTGAGATCCCATCTCTACAAAAACAGAAAACTTAGCCATGGTGGTGCATGCCTATAGTCCCAGCTACTCGGGAGGCCGAAGCTGGAAAATCACTCGAACCCAGGAGTTGAAGGATGCAATGAGCTGTGATGATGCCACTGCATTCTAGCCTGGGTAACAGAGCGAGACTTTGTCTCAAACAAACATACAAAAAGATTTGGTTCTACCACTTACTACACACATGACCTTGAGCAGAATCACTTATATTTTACAAATAAGGACAATAGTGGAATATTTGCCTTGTAAGATTGTCAAGAGCATTAAACAAAATGACAAATATAAATAATGTGCCTGGCACAAGATAATTCTCAAGGAATTTTAGCTGCTATTATTGTTATTTTCATAATCAAGAATCTTTAAACAATAAGGAATAAAAAACCAAACTCTAACTGGCATAAACAGTAAAGAGATTCTGCACTGCACAGAATGGGGAGTCTCGAAGTGCAGCAGGCTCCAGGCACAGAATAATCAGGGCTCTGACTCCTTTTCTCTGCAGTGTTCCCAGCTCTGCCCTCTTCTTTGTATTGGCTCTGTCTCCAGGCTTCCCTCATTGTCCAGAGATGGCTATGTCACCAAGTCCTGTGCAATTGTGACAACATTCTTCCTTGTTCAGATGTTCTTCCATCATGAACAGAGGAAAAAATCTCCTCCCCCAAACAGAAATATAAATCTGCTTAGGCCAGCTTAGCTTATGTGCCTACTCCTGGACAAAGGACAGTGACCAGAGAAATTCCCTGTGTTGACTGGCCTAAACCTGGCTTCTTGAACTGGTCACTGGTGAGGCTGGGTGGCCACTATTGGCTTAGACTAATTGGGATCCACCCCTATGGTTAGAAATGGGTTCCAGCTTTCTCCTGATCACATGGCTGCATTATGGCAAGGAAAGAAGGGTTCTATTAGAGAGAAGGAAGGAATAACTGGACGTTGGACAGAAACCCAACAGCGTAGCATCTTTTGTGATGATTACTATTTCGTTTTTTGCATGCTAGTTCACAACTGTCTCTTGACCTGGGCTCAAATGGTTCCTTCTCAGTGAGGTTTTCCTTGACTATTAGAAGTCAGTCAGTAAGTCAGTGAGTCAGTCTGTCTCTCTCCACTAGCAGAGACAGACCTGTTTTGTTTTATAATAAATAAAAAGCTGCTCATGTGAAACTGCTTCCTACTTGTCGTCACTCCATTGCACCGCTCCTGCTTGTGATTTTTTTCCAAGCAAGGACCCAAAGAACTAGAATAACAGTCTGCCAAGAGGCTGGACCTGACACTTTGGTGTGTCTGCTCATTATTTGGCCAAGAGCACACCAAGAACTGAGAGCAGACTGCTACCCTGACATTTTGTTTTATATAAAGCACTTATCACCACCTGACATGTCGTATACTTCTAGCCTTACTTGTTTATTGTGTCTTCTCCCTCAAGAATATAAATTCCATGAGAGTAGAGGTTTTGAGTTGTTCATTGCTATACGTCTAATACCTACAAGAGTCCTGGCCCATAGTGGGTACACAATAACAATTCGTTGAATCAATAAATAATTCTGACCCTACTATGGGGCCTAGGAATGGTCCTAGCTTTCACAGCTCCTCCTTTTCTTCTCTCCCTCTTCTCTATTTGCCTCTGGTCTATATCCTAGTCTCTCATATCCATCTGCTGAATAGGCCAGTATTTGTAATTTTGCTTTCTCCCTATGTAGTGTTGATTATAAATCTTTTTCCTCTTCCTTTTCATGTCGATTACCTGTTATTCTCTCTATGCATATTAGATATTTTGTGTTCAAATAAAGTTAGAAAACCTGAGTGCCCCTTATAGCCTGCAAAAATTTACGACATGGAATCTCATTTCTTTTGAGAACTACATTTATATTTTTACACATGTGTTTGAGAAATATAAGGAGTATTTCACTGTAGGTGCTTCTGAGTCTACCATCCATAGCCTCCTGAATTTGTATCCTCTTTGAAGTCTTCTTTGGTATAGATATTTTTTTTTTAATTTTGAGGGAAAAATTCTATGCTTCCTCCTATACTACCCTCAACCCTAAAATCTGCCTGTTCTCATAAGGGACATGTGATAAGGCATTGTTTTCTTAGGTGGTATTTTCTGACTCTAGGACTGGACAAAAGAACAATCATAAAAATAACAACAAAAAACATTTATTTGCCTAGCACTTTACTATGAACTGTGCCCTGCTCTCAGTTATAAAATTAATATGAGCTTATGAAATGTTACTTGTTCAAAGTAAAAAGTGAAAGTCCATCTTCTCTAATCATACTCCTCAGGGGTAAATACCACTAATAGATTGGTGTATATTCTCTAGATTTTTTTCCTTGCATACATGGCATGTCCAACAGAATTTCAGATACGCCTCTGTGGTACAAGTTATTGCCAGGAAGCAGCTACCTAGGCAAACAGTAAAAAACAAAAAGAAAGATGCTGGAAAACAACAGATCAACATAAAAGATGTCATAAGACAATGTATGACTAGTAAACAAATGATATGGACAATAAGTGCTGTGCATCTAAAGGCAAGATATATCACTGTGGGCTGGAGTAGCACAGAATGTAAGATGGAAAAGGGATAAAGCAGTCATGTTTCTAGGCTGTCTCCATCTAATCCACTCTTCCTACACACAGCATGAGAGAACTTAATAATATCCCAACCCATCACTGCTCTGCATAAACTCACCAAAATTGTACCACTGACGTCAGGGTATCCCAACTCTTTCATGTGGTTTATCAGATACTTCATATGTTCTAGTCCCTGCTCCCTTCATCTCTGGAAACTTCACTGATCAAAAAGGTAGTTGCTAGCCACAAGTGGCTCCTGAGCACTTCAAATGTGACTAGGCTAAATGGAGATGTGCCCTAAGTGTAAAACATACATTTGGTTTCAAAGACTTAGTTCAAAAAAAAAAAAATCTCATCAATAATTTTTTACACATTGAAATATTATTGTGCAATTATGAGTGTATCCATCGGGTTAAATAAAATACACTGTTAAAGTTAAATCCACTTGTTTCTTTTTACATGTGTCAACAGAAAAGAAGACAAGAAGAGAAACTCTGTAAAATAATGTAAGCCGGTTTATTCTGAGCCAAATTTGAAGACCAGGGACTAGGGCCACGTCCAAGAAGCCTTGAGTGAGTACACTCACTGTGGCTGGATTACAGTTCGGTTTTATACATTTCAGGGAGACAGGAATTACAGGTAAAGTCATAAATCAATATATGGAAGACATACATTAGTTTGGCCCCAAAAGGTGGACCATCTCAAAGCCAGGGCTTATAGGTCATAGGTGGGTTTAGGGATTAAGGCAGGACATTTAGAAGTGGAGCTTACAAGTCATAGGTGGATTTAGGGCTTCTTTAGTTGACAATTGGCTGAAAGCATTAGGCTTTGTCCAAAAAACTAGGAATCAGCATTAAGTAATGCTTGAGTTAAGATAAGGGTCTTCTATCTTTTATGTGATGCTATACCCAAATCAGGTTGGGAAGTAAACTGCACCATAAAAACCTGTTTACTGATATTTTATCATTTGTAGGCGTGACTCACCAGGCCCCCTTAAAAGGAATTTTTTGGGCAAAGATCAGAATTCAGTCCTCAATTGTTTAATAAGGCTGCAAAAAACTTAAAAATACTTATTTAGCTCGCATTATGTTTCTACTGGACGCTTCCTTTTCCCTGCCCTACATTTCAGTTAAAAAAAAAACCACTTGCAGTTTCTCACTGGGCCCTGTTTCTCTCCTGGAGACTTTGGCTATTACTACTGGTGCCTGAAACACTTTTTCCTCTTCTCTTCGCTGAGCTAACAGCTCTTACTCATTCAGACCTGAGTTTTTAACTACGGCTTTCTCTAAGACGTGTCCCTGACCCCACCACATCCCCTGCAAGACTGGACAAGGGTCTCCTATGCCCAGTCCAGAATCCAACATAGAGCACTTCTCATACTGTATCTGCAATTGCCTGTTGTCCGTTTTGTGTCCCCTACAAGACTGGAAGCTCCTCCAGGGGCCAGACCCTCAGAACTGCCGTCTTCCACACCTAGTGGTCAAAGCCAGGCACACAGCAGCCTCTCGGCGGAACCAACCAGCGGCGGGACCGAAATGGAGAAAAGAATTCGGAGAGTACAGGGGTTCAAGGGTGAAGAGGTGGAAGAGCCGGAGAGGAGCCGGGGCCGCCGGCAGGACTCACCAGTCCCTGCTGGCCGATGTCGGCGTCCGGCCGTTTGGCCGAGTGCGGCGTGTACTCGGCGTAGCGCAGCCCCTCGCCAGCGGGGGCGACGCCACCAGCAGCAGCCATGGCAATGAGGCCCGGTGCGACGCCCGGCGCAGAGACTCAACCTACGAGGCGGCCGCAGGGACAAACTAGTTAGGGCGGGCTCATCTCGCGGATTTCGCGGACGCTGTCACCGCTGGGCTGGTGAAAGCGGGACCTGGAGATTTCATTCCCACTTGGGCTCGGGGCGCTGGTTACATCAAAATGCGCGGTCAGAGTCCAAGGCTGGGACCTTGGGACGTGTAGAATATTTTGTTTCTTTCTTATTCTCAGGGCCAAACCCAACGCTGGGCCTCCTGAGGCGTTGCGGGGTGGGGTTCCCGCCCCAGACCACTCTGAGGGTCTAGGGCGTTGGTGTCCTGGGATGCCCGGCCGGAGAGACCCGGAATCCAACTGTAGTGAGAGGGGACGTGCCTGAGGTTTCCTGACCGAGTCCCGGCCTTTCTTCCCACCACCAACTACAGGTCATATTTCTGTTTAGTGCCACAGTTCTCCCAGCCGGGAGAGCAATTGAAGAGGCAGTTTGCTTACTCCACCCCCAAATGAATGGCCCTGTTTAAGATGAAATTACAGAGAAGAAATATGTAAGCAAGGAAATAAATTTCACTCCCCACAAATGATTTTGTGCTGACTTGGGTGTAGAAAGACTCACTTTATTATTCATTGTTAAGTCAAGCTTTTTGGAGCAAAAATTAAAATGGAAGCCCCTATAGTGTTTGCCAACTCCTGTGCCAATTTGGCAGCTCTTTTGCCCTTTACACCCATTACAAAATTGGCTTACGAGAAGATAAATCTTTATATTTTTTCTATTCCTGAATTTAAAGTTTTGAGGATCTATTAATTTATTCACTTAGCTAATATTATTAGCATGCCTAAGACATTATGTCTTAGAGGAATTTATGATGTAGGAAAGATAACACTGACACAGTGGTAATCCATAAGAGAACGTGATCACATGCGCTGTGTGGAGATATAAACAGAACTGGACTGAGAGGAGGGAAGAGGTCTGAGTTTTGGTGTCCCTCCATCATTTTCTGGGCTCCTGTCCCTGAACATGCCCATTAACCTCTCCAAATCTCCTATCTGTAGAAGGGGAGAACATTTGTCCGTCACTCTGACTCAGCAAAGTTACAAGGATAAAATGAAAAAAAAAAAAAAAAGCAGGTGGTTATGGAAGCAATTTGTGCAGTGCACTCATGAAGAGAGTAAGAGAGTTACAACCACAGAGCTGCTGCAGTTTACAGGAGGGAATGGCCACCTTTAACAGGGGTCATCAGAGAAGGTTTGGTGGAGGCTTAGTATTGAGATGGCCAGTAAAGAATGGGTAAAATTTTTTTTAGATGGAAGAGCAGGAGGTTCAGAAATTTCAAACAGAAACAAATGGAAAGAAATGAAAAAGGTGCCATGTAGGACTGAGTAAAAAACACTCCAAGACTCTTCAGAGACATATTACAAAAATTAATTTTCATTAAATTGATCCACAACTATGAAGAACACTGGTGAACTAAGCAAATGCATTGAATTGGGGCTTACAGGTCATTCATTCATCCATTTATTTATTTATTCAATAAATATTTATTGAGCATGTTAGGTATAAGGCACTATGCCAGGCATTGTGCATTGTTATAGTGTCAACAAACAAACAAGGTCTCTGATTCCTTGGAGTTTAGTGTCTCCTAGCAGCTAGGCCCTAGCAATAATAGGCTACTAGCCTGGAACAATTGAGCAATTAGAGCAAGACCCACTTAGCTGGGTCTTAGGGCATCTGCCATCCCTGCTCAAGAACTGGAGAGAAGCTTTCAGAGTAGAAGCCAGGAAAAGGAAAACAAGAAGAATGGGTCAGGGGAGAGGATACCAAGGTGGAGGAGAGGTGGGCTCAGCAGGGTTGCATCTCAGCTCAGACCCTAACCTATTGAGAGCATAGGCTGGCTGGCTGCTTGTAGATTTGCCTACCCGCTCCCTCAGGCATCTACTCCTACAGAAGTACCCAGTTTTAATGAAAAATCTCATCCACAAAGATTACCCAGTCCTTAGCCCAAGGGTCCTCAAACTTTTTAAACAGGAGGCCAGGCCAGTTCACTGTCCCTCAGACCTTTGGAGGGCCGTTGGAGAGTGTGGGGCGCACATTCCGCACATACGCACTATGGGCCCAGGCCGACTGCTAAGCAGGACAGGCAGCCGTGACAAAAACAGCCTGCTGGGGGGGGGGGAGGAGTATATGTCCTTGGGGGCCACATGTGGCCCATGGGCTGTAGTTTGAGGACGTCTGCCTTAGCCTTTGGTTCCTGGGTAAAGTCTCCCTCACCAGCAAAGGATGGAAACAAGAGCAATGAAATCCTATTCCCTTCCCACAAAGATCTCTTCCTAATTTAGCTAAACTCACTTTTCTGGCTTCCATGAGAATGAAAAAGAATGCTTTTTGTGAAAACCAAAAGGGACGACACATTAAATTTTCATTGGCCTATTTTTACCAGTTATGCCACTTCAAAGACAGATTACATTATGTTCAATAGACTTTGCATTTTTGGCTTTTTTCTTTGTAAAAGAAAGGCAGATTACATTAGTAATACATTTTAGAAACATCTCAGTAAAATATGTTTTTAGAAATTTGCTTGTAGGCCGGGTGTGGTGGCTCTCGCCTGTAATCCTAGCACTCTGGGAAGCCGAGGCGGCAGAATTGCTTGAGCTCAGGAGTTCAAGACCAGCCTGAGCAAGAGCAAGACCCTGTCTCTACTATAAATAGAAAGAAATTAGCCAAACAACTAAACATAGAAAAAGTTAGCTGGGCAGTGTGGTGCATGCCTGTAGTCCCAGCTACCCAGGAGGCTGAGGCAGGAGGATCGCTTGAGCCAAGGAGTTGGAGGTTGCTGTGAGCTAGGCTGATGCCACCACACTCTAGCCCGAGCAAGAGAATGAGACTCTGTCTCAAAAAAAAAGATTAAAAGAAAAAAATAGAAATTTGCTTGTTTTTCGTTTTGATTTTTTTTTTTTCCTTGAGACAGAGTCTCACTCTCTTGCCCAGGCTAGAATACCATGGCATCAGCCTAGCTCACAGCAACCTCCAACTCTGCAGCTCAAGGGATCCTCCTGCCTGAGCCTCCCAAGTAGCTGGGACTACAGGCATGTACCACCGTGCCTGGCTAAATTTTCTATATGTTTTTAGTTGGCCAATTAATTTCTTTCTGTTTTTAGTAGAGACAGGGTCTCCCTTTTGCTCAGGCTGGTTTCGAACTCCTGACCTTGAGTGATTCTCCTGCCTCAGCCTCCCAGAGTGCTAGGATTACAGGTGGTAAGCCCCCTGGCCTTGTATTGTGTTTTTAGAGACAGGGTCTTGCTCTCTGCCGAAGTGCAGTGGCAATGCATAGCTCATTGCAGCCTCAAATTCCTTGACTCAAATGATTCTCCTGCGTCAGCCTCCCCAGTAGCTAGGACTACATGCCCATGTCACCATGCCTGGCTGAAATTAGTTGCCTGGAAGAACTTTTGGCAAAGAAAACTGACCTCGCTGTGTTTCCATTTCCTCATTAGCAAAGTGGATGATAATAATAGCACCTCCCTTGTGTGTATTAATAGTTCACTTTTGTAAAGCTTTTAGAACTGCTTGATACCCAGTAAGTTCTACAAAAGTGTTAGTTACTGTCTTCATTCACCTATTTATTTCCTTGTATATTTTCTTCTCACCTCCTCTGCCCCTTCCCCCTCCCCTCAACAGTTATGGTGATCCCCAAGCAATTTTCTTGCTCTGAAATTATAAAATGTTATTAACATTGCATAATGATAAAGTATAAGTGTGGGAAAGAAAGAGTTGTTTTTATGAAATTAAATGCCTTGGAAACACTTGATAAAATGAAGTGTTTGTTTGTTTTTAAGCTGTTTGGTGGGCATGGGAAAAGAATTAGAAACACTGAATGCGATTCTACACTCAGTTTGCTTTTAAAATGTGTTGTTCCCCCTTAATTTTAAACAAATTCAAAGTAGGACTCATAGATGAATAGTTTATCAGTATGGAAAGAATCCAAGGCAGAGCTGAATGAGAGGACCCAGGTCCAAATAGAAGGCATTGGCCCTGCAGACATACATGGAGTACATGAATAAATGCACAGTATGTCTGTTGTGATATTACAATTTCATGGGGTTAGGGGGAGTGTTATTAGGAAAAAAGTCTAAAGAAGCTCCTTGGGAGAAATGATTAAAAAAAAAAGGTTGAGAAAATGATTTACATAAAACATTACCATTTTTTATTTTTATTTTATACAGACAGGGTCTTACTCTGTTGTCCAGGCTGGAGTGCAATGGCACAATCATAGCTCACTGTAGTCTCAAATTCCTGGGCTCAAGTGATCCTACCTCCTCAGCCTCCCAAAGTATCTGAGACTACAGGCATGCACCACCATGCCCAGCTAATTTAAAAAAAATTTTTTTTCTAGAGACAGGGTCTCAATGTGTTACCCAGGCTGTTCTTGAACTCCTGTCCTCAAGCAATTCTTCCACTTCAGCCTCCTGAGTAGCTAGGACTACAGGTGTAAGCTGCTGCACCTGCATATATGATGTGAAATAATATTTAAAGTATGTGTTGTTACGATCCCAGATTTAATTAGTTTTCCAGTTAGGCCACCAACCACTATCCTGGGCTAGTTAGAAGAGAGGCTTTACCCTGTGACAAAATGCAGTGGGCACAAAGGAGAAGGGGCCTGTTCAAGGAAGGAGTCAGAGAAGCTAGTACTCAAGATGACAATGGAAGGATGAATACAAATTTCATGGATTGAACAGAATGAGGCAGGCTTGCGGAAACAAAGTATGAGAAAGCATTGTATGCAAAGAATAATACAATTTATTCAGTTTTGCTAAAGCTCAAAGTATAAAGAAGAGAATGAAGATGGATGAGGGTGAACAGATAACCAGACAAGGGCCATATTGAACATTTTTATATAATAAGCAAAAACATTTAAGATTTATCTTATAGGTGAAAGCAGGACATCACAAAATGTTGCATCAGGGACATGATCAGATACATCTGCATGCTATAAAGAGCTCTTTGGTAGCAATATAGTGATGGGACAATATGAAAGGAGGGAGATTAGCAAGAAGGTTATTGCAACAGTCTGAGTAAGAGATGCTGAGACCTAAACTTGGGCAGTGCAAGGGATGTGGCAAGGAGGAGTAGAATGACCTTTATTGGTTTCTTCCCCACATTTAATCCCTTTTGGCTCTTGCCAACATGAACCCAACCCTCAACTCGGTCCCCTACTCTCAAGCTGGGCCCTGATTGGCCAAGCCAACCAATGCATCTGTTGGGGC